GTTGTGTTTATGATATCAGGTATTGGGCCATTTAATTGGTAAAGTAGGCTCATACTGTTTAATTACCATGCTGTGTTAACTCTGTGCTGTCTCTCCAAAGCAGCTGCGACAGAATCAATCTGATGAGTTGGGACGGATCACTTGGGAACGCGGCTGATCAATAGGTCGATAGGAAGTTCTCCTGTGATAAAATAGATAGCTGCAGTATAGATAAATTAAGTGTGACATAAAAGGTTTTTTTAAATCACAGTATAGACAGATGAATACATTGATTTGAGAAGATTTTAATCAGATTGTAGCCTTGAAAGGTCTCACAAAAATGGATATGTCTGTGAGCTTAGAGAATGAACATAGTTAAATCTAATAAACATTTTAGGCTACAGCTCTGAGCTTTGCACTTTTCACACAATGGTAGCATGTTTTACAAAGCCTCAGATGTACAGGTAACTTTCCACCACTCCAGTGAATTTATTGATGAGTGGAGACCAGCCCTGATATCTCACAGGGACCATCACAAAGGCCTGTGCTTTCTGGATTCTGACAGAATCTTGATACCAGGTGCCATGAACCGCTGCACTTTGCTGTGAGATCTATCTCTCTTCACCTCAGTTATGTGTGTAAATACTGCCGACAGGCTTCCTGCTGCTATGAATACTGAGTGTCAGTGCCTCTACCCAGGGAAAACGAGGGTGTCTGAGTGAACATTTGTAGAATAGAAGCAGCATGTCATGCCTGTCACAACCCCCCCTTTGTTTTTATAGTCATGCTAAGACCTCTCTCTCAGCATGAGATCCTACACCAGTCCATGTTGAAAGACTGTGCTGATGATGATGATGCTTTCTTCAGCAGCAAAGTAAACACACAAAATCTAAATGGGCTCAGCTCTTTTCATGTGGAAGGCCATGCAAGAGCTTTAAGCGCAGATGCAGTGTTTTCCCATTAACATAATAGAATTTGTCTGCTGCCTTCTTCTGGGATCAAAAGAGCAGTTGTGCTTTAACTCATCATAGCTCAATTTTGTATTCAAATAAAGATTGCGCTTAGCCTTTGCATTTTATTTTATTTTTTTGACAGCAGGGTGGAAGTGAGTCTTGAGTTTTGTTAGATGCGTTTTTACAGGCTGTCACTTTCCCTCCAGCTGCTCTCCGATAAACCACATGAAAGGCCTTACTGTGAACAAATCATGACATGGAGAAGCCAAAGTCATCAAGCTACTTTTACATTTCTTCCTTTTTACAGTATTTCTGACAGCTTGGAGGTGACCTATTTTTCTAAGTGAAACAGTGGCACAAGGGGAGGTTGCCTGGTTTTGTCCTGTGAGTGTGTACACTGTAGTTTATATGCATACAAGGGTTGGCAGGCAGACAGGTATGTGCGGTTTTTGAGTGGCAGCCAAAAATGTACAGTATATCCCATACCCCTGTGGGTGCTTGTGCCTTGGATGTTGCAGATATCAGCAGGATGCTTAATGTATCTACAGATTGTTCTGAGGATAAGGTAATTATTGTGGGAACCATTAAAAGTCATTTGAAACCAAATGCTTGGACATATGTAATTTCTATCTCACAGTTCCCTTGGGGTGTACTGAATGACTCAGGTCTTATTCAGCAGATAGAAGTTTAAAGTAATGATTTGCTTGACATGTCACACTCGAACAGTGATGCCGACAGTTTAAATGAAGCAACAGCATTCAAAGTGACAATCTCTGAGCTACAGTAATGAGTGGTTGTTGCTGGTTGTTGTTGAGTTTTAAGGCAGTGAAATTTGAAATTTGTTTGTGTTATGCCATCAGGGCAAAATCTTGTGAGAGTACCAAAGTCGTAACCCTCACGTGTTCTTTCTCTCACAAGTCGTACACGGATATCCACTCCTGTTTGGCTGAACTTGTTTAACTGTGATGTCAGTTTGATCTTTTGTGTTTTGGAGGTGAATGTGAATCCCAGAAAAACATCCCCAAATGCCAGATTGTCTTCATACTATAGTATCTAATACCTTATGCGTTGTATGACTGAATACATTCAGTAAAAAGTCATACAGCTCCAAGTACAATATGTATAAACTCCCTCATGATGCTACATGGAGACTCTGTACTTACAGTACTTTCATAAATGTGTTCCTTCCACTATCAGTGCATTGTAGCATTGGACATCTTGGATACAAAATGCTGCATTGGGTGTTTCTCATGTCTCTTTTATGATCGTTCCTAGTTGTTCCTTTGACCGGAACAACTTCCAGGTCGACATTTCCTGTCAACCAAGAATCGAGGCTATTCCAAGGTCTCTTATATTGGCCCTGAGGATTGAAAAGTGAGGAGGCTGCTGGAGGAGCCCCACTTCCTGGTCGACATTTCCTGTCAACCAAGGATCAAGGATATTCCAAGTCTCTTATATTGGCCCTGAGGATTGAGAAGTGAGGAGGCTGCTGGAGGAGCCATGACTGAGGATACATGTAAGCATCCTTTTATGAACTGGCATGCCCCCTCATTAGAAATCAGTTGGTGATTGGATGCTTTGGATGAATGATAGGAGGAAAGAATGTTTTGTGTCATTAATATCATGTTCTCACATCCTCTCTCTTGCATTTTTTTCTTCACATCATATGTGGGCGGGACAAAGACACACGGAAAAGACAAGTGAGAAAAACAATGACCCATATGAGAGACTCAAACACCCAGAGTATTGCACAAGGAAAGGAGAAGACTGCAAAAGGGGATAAAACTAAGAGCTGCTTTGTGCACAATAAGCAGATGGGGAGTTAAGTTCTAAGCTTCCCTAGCAGTCTCCCACTCCGGTCCATATTGGATGGGTGATGCAAAGGTACAGTAATAAAGAGAATGATTAGCAGCAAACAGATGGGGGATAAGTGACAACACACACATCATCACCATATGACAAAACACCCACATTTTCATACTTGTCAGGACATTACGCGGACTTGTGTTCATGTTCAGACTGCTTAACTGCTGCCAAACTGTCTTGACAAACAAATATCTACTCAGGTTTAGATTTTTATTTCTTGAAAACACACATCTGTAATGGAGTTGACATTGGTTGGTTATATCAAGAAAAATAAAAGTCACAAAAGTGGAAATTACAGTATATATTCCCCTTGCTTCACCCAACAAGTTGTATCAAGACAATTCAAGCTGAACACTCAGTTTTAAACAGCTTGCTGGAGATATTTATTTATCTGGCAATGAAAGGACCACCTTTTCTTATGTCTGCCAAAACAGACACACGTGCACTCTCACAGGGAGGGTGTGAAAAGATAAGGTGCAACAGCTTGAATTAATTATAGAGCTCACCATTCCACACGTCTTGAGATAAAGCCAGTTATTAGCAGAAAATAGGATCTGAGACATGTTTAAATAATTACAGTTGCTGTTTTCACTTTACTGCTACTTTGGCATTCAAGGCTGCCACACTGATGATGGCACGAAATAGATGGGCGAGATTAACCATTAAGATTCTAAACTAAAATTTTAGAAGAACATATATGAAATATTAACTCCACAAAATTGATTTTACTGCTCCATCTCACTCTGAGCTCCTTGTCTTGGGATCAGATATTGGCAGCTACACTAACAGTGATGGAATTCTAATGAGGCATAATGATGAAACAAACCCAGTTTCATCATTATTTCTGTCTTAAACAGTGAGCATGCATAATCAAAGTTATTGCCTGGTCACAGAATGAATATAACCCTCAGTGGCTGCATGTGTATGGATTAATTTACGTGAGTCCTGTAGAGGGTGCCAAACCAGCCATTGGTGCCCAGCACTAGCTCCCCCAGCTGATATGCAGCTTCCTATAAAGAACCTCTGAGCACAGTGTCTGTGTTTCAAGTCATGCTTTTCTGTCACAAGCTGAGGTCAGGTTTGCATTCAAGGAAACATTTACTCTTTCACTCAGCACTAGATAAATCACTTGCCAAGCTCAGATGATCTGATGCTGGATTCCGCCAAGCCTCCAATTTCAACTTGACTGACAGAAGACCAGAAATCTGTCTGGTTGTACTGTAGTGTCGCTTCTAACTATTGTGTTTTTAAAATTTAAAATGCCATAAAATATAATGATTCCTTTCCCTGAATAAAACTGTCTTTCTTTATTGTACTTGAGGGACAGTGGTGAGTTCTTATTGCATATTCTAGGCTGGGATATTTTTAGTCACCTGTGCAATGAAATGGATTTTTTTATTCTGAAGGAGCCTTTGCTAGCAGGACCCCTGACGACCTACTGGGACCCCATTTGGCAACCACTTAACTGTAGCTCTTAAACTAGTTGTAGGTGTAAATGTTAGCACTGTAATATTTGCCAAAATGTGCATGTGGAGGCAGCACCTGTGTGTGCATCTCACTGTTTGAAGCCATTAACCATAGGCTACGTAGCAGGTGAATGCCACATGACAGCATCTCAGCCTCCCTATCCAATGGGAGGCATGGTCAGACATGAACAGACAGGAGTATAGACTGTTTGGTGTTGATTGCAAAGGTCTGTCAAAGCCAGGTCTCTTGAATTCCAATGGTCCCGTCTCTCTCTCTCTCTCTCTCTCTCTCCCTCTCCCTCTCCCTCGGCATCCAGCAGCTGCGCCTCTCACGCCTTTCCTGACGCTGAGCGAAGCCTTCCATACAGATGAGCGCTGGAAGCCACGCACCTCTTGACGTAGCCACAGACCGGTTGCGGTGCCACTCGTTCTCCGTAGCACGTATTGCGCAACGTGACCGATGCTCAACTGGCTCCACGGTGGGCACATCCGGCTCCTACCGTCGCATGGAATCCATTAGGAAGTGGTCTCACAACGCCGAGACAACGACAGGCATCGCCGTGCTGTAGAACAACTATCCACGGCTCATCACCGGACTGGACCCTCCCCTTGTCATTGCCACCGGGAGAGATGAGTCGAGCGCGCGGCTTCGGGGTGCAGTCGTGATATGATTGTGTGAGCGCACGAGCCTCTTCTGTAGTATCGGCAACAGCGGCCTGGAGCACTTTTTTGAATATAGTAAGAATCTGACTGTGAGTGTGTTTGTGTAGCGGAAGTGATGGCTCCGTTAGACGGCATGCAGTCAACGCAGCGGCAGCGTCCGCGGAGGGAGCCGTGAGCACAGCTGGAATAAAGGAGCTATGTCCGTAGATGCCGAGCCCCCCTCCGTTTGTAGTCGAGAGCGTCTCTGTGCTCCCTCGGTTTGGCGCCTCGGGGGTCTTTGCTGAAGTCCAGAGAGACATACGGTTCCCTAGGAGCGCACCTATCTGGAGTGGACGAGCGGTTGCTGTTTGTCATAAGGCCGAGTTTTGTGCAGCCCTTTCCCCGCGCCTGCTTGCCTCCCCGTATCCTCCGCGACGTCTCTGTGCCGCGAGCGCTGCGCATTTTGGCTATATGGCAGTGGACACCACCACCTGAGTCTGCCTCCCTGCGCCCATAAATACATTTACAGCGAACACCGAGGCTGAATTAATCGACGCGTGGATGAGTGCTGTGTCTATGCGCCTCAGTTACATCGCCACGGAAAGGACTTCTTGCAATTGAGAGCTGGATATGCAGAGATTAACGTGAAGGGATGGATCTAATTATCTGTGTTTTGGGGCTTCTGGCGCTGATCATCCAGGGCATCCGTTGCCAAGGAGTGTACGGTAAGTGTGTGTCATTTGCATCTGCTGAAACCAAATGTGATCATGACCTTGTAACAGAGTAGTCGCCCATAAATTGCTACTTTCCCCCTTTATAATCACAAGGTTTCACAAGAAAAACATGAAACATCAACTCATGTAAGGGCGACACTGAGGTATGGATGTCATGTTTAAGTGAGGGGCTCCAAATGTTCTCAGCACCCTGAGGTTATACAGCAAATCGCTTGTGTAGCCAATCATGCACAACCTCTTTTCCCATTTAATCCACCACTCAGGATGGTCGGTGAGCAGGCTAAATTTAGTAGGGTGCATTCATAGATGATCACATTGGAGCCTGGTAGATTTGTCTAGACAAGGAAACTACATAAATGTCATTTTTTAATTACCATTCAAAAGGTTGAAGCAGCGCTTGTCTTAATTGGGCCAAAGGTATTTTTTAGACATTTTAAAAAGACCTGTAATCTGTTGAGCAGTGGCGTTCAGTGTGAATGAAAATGTCATGTGTGGAAGATCTGCCTACTTCTTCCTTATGTCAGTATGCCAGTCTGTGTGACTATCCCCCCCCCATACGCACACTCACACACTTAATGTGCGCACATCTCTGTCTCCTACCCTGTCTGCTTGTGCAACCAGTGTCCCAGATGATATCTAATATGAATCGTCATTATCGCGGCAGCGGCGGCACTGGGAGGGAATAATGACTCATGTGCACCAACGCTGGGACAGGGAGGAAACCTTGAGGCGCACGGCGCTGACCTGTCAGCAGTGACAGTGGCTCTGACAAAAGCAGAAGTTGTGCAGGGAGAATGTGAGGTCAAGTAGAGAAGTGGGGTGGTGTGTTTCAGAGGTTGTTGGCGAGCACTAAAAAGATCTTTGTCGCCACAGTGTGTGTGTGTGTGTGTGTGTGTACGCGCGGAGGTGATTTAGCATTGAAAGGCTGAGCTGACAGTAGCAGTCATGGTGCTGCACCTGACCAATGATGCACCAGGATTTTATCTCTTCCTTTTTCTCTAGAGGGAGGAAGTGAATAAGATAAGTTACAGCACAGGTCAGGGCAGCTGTATCATTAGTGCTCACACAGTACATGTGTGCATATTATCACATTCTTCCTGCTTTAACACCTGTTGCAGAAATATTTCACAGAATAGCATCTTGAAATGTGTAGCCTACACTTATTGATCTACTTCACCTCTGGGCACTCATTAGCCAGTAAATAGGGTGTTGTTTGGAAGGAGTGAATTCCTTCTGTTACACTTTAAGCCTGAGGCCATGGACTTTCATCGAACTTTGATGTCTCAAGAAATAATTTGATATCCAAATCTACTGAATCCAAGAAATACATATATTCTGACCATAACCATCAAAACTGATCACATACTGTAATTGTAGATCAAAGCTGCAAGCTCTTCGTATGAGCGTCCCTGTGCAGATGAAGCTTTTTAGAAGGAATTGTGTGCAATAGTGCTTGATGTGGTGCTGCTGTAGAGAGCAGTGTGTGTGGACTCTAGGTTTACAACAGCAGCAGCAGAAGAAGAGCCAGGGAGTTGCAGCAGATGGAATTGTTTGAGCATCTAACTATCTGTGTTTGTGCATGTGTGTAGCCTGAAAATCCCCCTCGAGCATAGTCACCCCCCCTTTTTCCACATCACCACAGTGCTTCACCTATTCCACAGGAAACGTGCTTTAGTGGGGATTTGTATCTGTCCTGCTGAGACGCTCCTGCAGTATATTCCTGTACTGTGAAGAGGAAGATAAATACAGAACATGGATGTTAATGGGACTCAAACTTGCATATCACATTCTTGCAAAATATAAAGCATGCAGGGCATTTCCACATAGGTGGTCTGAAGGTTCAACATTTATTATTGTTAGTAGCAAAACATAAGCATGCATGTTGTGTCGCTTCCCATTGTATTCACTGAGGGTTTTGACACATCGCACGGAGGAGGGAGGGTTGTGAAATGGAGTATTGTGCACCAGAGGTGAAAGCAGGTGGGTGTGTGACTGAATAAAATGAAGGCTGTGAGAGGATAATACATGATGGTGCCAGTAACTTAAAGTGGTAGAGTTTCACAGTAGGTCTTATAGAGGGCAAGCCCTGAATGCTTTGCACTGGTCATATCTTTGAATTTGGAGTATAGGGCTGGATAGTTTTCCTCAGTCAAATTCATTTCTATAACAAGTATTCATACCACGTTCCATCTCATTTGTATTGCATCCGAAGCATCACCTATCTTTTTCTTTCACATATTTCCAAATTAACACCACAGCAGATGATTAGGACAGTTTGTGAAAAAGATTATTATATCTCTGAGCATTGGCATAAGTCATTTTGCCAGCTAAATGGTGGAATCATGATGTAGTAATGAAGAAATTGCATACTAGTGTGTTAAGTGGTGCTGCCGGAGTCATTAAAGAGGATTGATGAAGGTTAGTCATCCCTCCATGACTCCAGGCCACAGAGGGGAAAAGAGCGACACTAAAGTATACCATCTGCTCTACTCTTTCTGTCTCCAGCCCTCCTTATCTTTACCTGTTTTTGTTTTCTTTTCTACGAGTGTCTGTTTCTTTCACCACACACACACACATACACACTGTTCTTCAGGAGCTTTCTGTATTATCATGACCCATCTCTGTGTTGCTCTTCAGAGCTCTAATAAGCCAGTAGCCGCTCCTCCATCATAACAAATGGAACTATCCCAAGACCTATCAACAAACCTGCTTAAGATTTTCTAAAGGTATTAATGTGTGATATTGCTGTCAACCAAACTAGACTCTGTAATAATATCAAACAGCTACAGTGGAACATGGCTCTTATGATAGCATAGAAATGTTTTTCTGCTCGTTACTTTATCTGGAGATGTACTGCCTTCACTATGTTCTCTTTGCATCAAAGTCAGTCGGCTACAACCTCCATGGGATGTGCTGATGTTCCTGATCTCGTTTTCTGCTATGCTACTGAAGAGAAAACGTTCCTACTGCTTTTTTCTCCCACCCCACCCTGTCTCACCCTCGTTCCCTCTCGTTTGCATTGAAGTCCAAGCAATTGCTGGGGTTTCTTTTCATGAGCCCCGGTTCAGACGCTTTGGCATCTAAGCTATGCAAATGCATTCTGCCAGCGAAACTAAAGCCGCCTTTGTTGGTTCTCAGAGGCCTGCTCCACAGAGTCCTTCATCATTCCCTTGGATCGGGACCCTCACATTTCCCACTGTAATGAGACCACGAATAACTCTATCTGTTCTCCTGCTTCTTGCTCTCAGCTCCTATCTCCCTTCCTGTCTCTGTCCTATGACTGTCTCTCCCTCTCCATCCCCCCTGGGAAACAGCCAGTGGACATATAAAGTATATGAACTTCAGTCGGAGGCAAATGAGGATGTACAGCTGAGTACAGCACAGAATTTGTTGCAGTGGAACAATGTGTGGTTCACAGCTGGGGATTGCTACGTACCCCTGGGTGTGGCTGCAGATAGTTCACAGCTGGGGACTGATACGTACCCCTGGGTGTGGCTGCAGATAGCGCCGACTTAATCATACTGAACATCAGCTCTATTTGGACCCACAATGTAGACCTTCTGTCTTACATTTGTAGTCTCCAAATATAAGTCAAAATAACTTTGACATCAGATTTCTTTTCACACACTTTAAAACAGGGCTAGATCTAACAGTTATTTTTATTATTGATGAGTCGACCAATTATTTTATCAGTTGATCACTAAGAAAACTGTGAAAACGTTCGTAAGTTCTTAGAACACAAGGTAATGTCACCAGATAATCTCCAATCAACCCTCCAAATTCCAAAGATATTCAACTGAATATCATGTCAGACTATGAAAAGCAGAAAATTGTCACACTTGAAAAGTTGGAACTGTAAAAATGGAGGCTTGCTTGAAAATGGAATAGCTGCAGATTAATTTTCAGTTTGTCAACTAATCAGTTAATTTACTTATCATTGTACCTCTGCAATTTGAGCCACAGAAGGCATTATATAAAACTGTTTTCATAAACTGAGCAGTACTCCTCATGATAAGACTTTTATTTGTATAAAACAGGGAAGTGCCCCTTTTGTTTTTCCCCTGTAACTTGCTGCTTAGCTGTGAAGCCAAGAGGTCATGTGAGGTGTGTGTCTGTGTGGCAGGGTGGCACTCTCCACTGGACGGATGCCACTCTTGGATGTGCCTTGTGTCTGCCTCCTTGGGTAATTTTGAAAAATGCGGCTGTGTATAGTTTGACAGTAGGCAAAATGGAGCTGTAAGTTTTAGGGGTTTTAACAATGCTTTCTTTCTGCACAGAAAATAGGCAATCCCCCTTTTCTTTCGCATTGTTAAAAGCAAAGGTGTTGTGTACAGCTGTGATAAATTAAATCTACTTTATTCTTAGTAGGGATGTTCTTATGATTTCTGTTTAAAGCTGACACAAGCAGCTGTAATACTCTCCTACTGTGAGGGTTTGGTTGAGTTTAGGGACACAGTTTACCTCTGGATCTTTCAAGGGCAAATCCTCACTGCAGACCAAAGAAGCTTATTGTAACCTGGCTGGCTGCTTCAACTGTTAAGCCCACATCCTGAAACCCTGAGCTACTTGTCCTGCTCTGTTCAGTGCTGAGGACAGAAAGCTGCTGCTAATGATCTTGTAGTCATTCATTAAGTGCTGTTCTGGTGCGTGACTGGACCGCCCTTGTGTCCCAGTTTATTTAGAATCAAAAGTAATTCTGCACTTTTAATGAAGTCTAGTATGACCTCTAACCTGCAGAGGAGGCTTGCACTGAACCAGAGCTGATGTTTTTCCTTTGTCTCCAGATATTCTAATGAAGTGGCCATTTATCATCCATATCATTAAAAACAAGATTAAAATTTTAAATGTCAACCTCAGTCTTGCTAATATTACTTTGTACAGCATCAACGCTTTTATCTGTAGTGATCTCATTGCTTGTAATAGTGTTAATTTCCTCATGTTGACAGACACATGGTCCAACTTCAATAAATTAAAGCTATAGTATCTTGCTG